GAGCGGGGTAGGGCAATGTCTATAGTACCATATTAAACAAAAATTACTGTAAAGGCATAATTTACAGTTCATATACAAGTTTTCTCAAAAACAAAGTTTTATAAAACGATACACTTTACATTTCAGCCTTTAAACCGTTGTTAAGAAAATGGATGAGTGAAAAGTATTATATTAATTTAAACAATTATCAATAAATTATTATATCAATTACACTGAACAAAATTATAAACGCAACACTTTTGTTTTTGCCCCCATTTTTCATGAGCTGAACTCAAAGATCTAAGACTTTTTCTATGTACACAAAAGGCCTATTTCTCTCAAATATTGTTCACAAATCTGTCTAAATCTGTGTTAGTGAGCACTTCTCCTTTGCCGAGATAATCCATCCACCTCACAGGTGTGGCATATCAAGATGCTGATTAGACAGCATGATTATTGCACAGGTGTGCCTTAGGCTGGCCACAATAAAAGGCCACTCTAAAATGTGCAGTTTTATCACACAGCACAATGCCACAGATGTCGCAAGTTCTGAGGGAGCGTGCAATTGGCATGCTGACTACAGGAATGTCCACTAGAGCTGTTGCCCGTGAATTGAATGCTCATTTCTCTACCATAAGCCAACCAAAATCCAGATTTGTGAACAATATTTGAGAGAAATAGGCCTTTTGTGTACATAGAAAAAGTCTTAGATCTTTGAGTTCAGCTCATGAAAAATAGGGGCAAAAACAAAAGTGTTGTGTTTATAATTTTGTTCAGTGTAATTGATATAATAATTTATTGATAATTGTTTAAATTAATATAATAATACTTTTCACTCATCCATTTTCTTAACAATGGTTTAAAGGCTGAAATGTAAAGTGTATCATTTTATAAAACTTTGTTTTTGAGAAAACTTGTATATGAACTGTAAATTATGCCTTTTACAGGCATGAGTTCAGCTCATGAAAAATGGGGGCAAAAACAAGTGTTGCGTTTATAATTTTGTTCAGTATATATAACAAATTAAGGGTGTGCAATACTGACAAAAAAATGATATCTTGATAATTTTCTGGGATTTTATCGATAACGATAATTAGACAATATTTTGCTGAGTGTGTTATTGTGCTGATATCTTAAGAACTACCGTGGACAGCTGCTGACTCCTGAATTTTTTGATATTCTTCATATTCTGTGTGGTCAGTTCACAGCAGTAATAGAAATTAATTTCCAACAAGTTTTATGGGCATTTTTACCTTTAAGACATTTGTTCTAAAAGTGTGCACCATCTTTTGAGTCAAATTCTTGCATTTGGGTTGTTACCAAGCAAATTAAATCAGTATCAACAAAATGTATCTTTGCAATGCAGAAGAAACACAGTAGCTGCATTAGAAGTGGCATTTAGATGCATTTAAACACTGTTTAATGCAGCTCTGGGGGACATTAAATACTTTAACCTGCAGTTACAAATGCATAAATAATGTTTTGATATTTTAAACATAAAACATTGAAAACTGATGTTTGAAATTATTTTAAAAAACGAAAAGGTACCTTAAATGTGAAATTAAAACCACCAGTAGGTGGCAGCAAGTCACTGTTAATAAGTGAGTCATTGCGATTGAACCAAATCATTTAAAGGGGTCATATGATGCGATTTCAATTTTTCCTTTAAACTACCATTTAATAACACTTTTAAATGCAATCTTTACCAAATCTCAAAATGAATAACTGTTTATCATACTGTACATTGTTAAGATGCCTAAATTAATTACACTAGCATTTAAAATGATTTAGTTTTTTGTGTTGTTTTTAATTTATTAAAATGTATTGTTGTATTGGTTATCGTTCTTAACAACAAAATAATAATTACCGGCTAATAATAACTGGTGCATCCGTAATTAAAATTTAATGGTTAGTTAAACCACTCATCATTCTTACAGCTTAACTGGTGAAAATGTGGTTTTAGACTGAAATTACCTGTAATGTACTGTTGGCAGCTTGCAGATCATCCAGCACAGCACGGAACATCCTTAGCTGCCCAATTCTCTCTTCTTGGTTTCCTTGCTCCTCTCTTTCAGTTTGAACGACTGCCTTGAAGGAATGGCTCAGAGATGTGGTAACATCTACAAACCGCTGCATTCGCTGGTAAAGGCCTGCAGAGGGCACCGGCCCGCCTCCTGCCCCCATCAGATAGGCCACACCACGACCACCCTTATTAGACCTACCCCGGACTGAGTTTGGCTCAGTACGGGAGGCTCGTTTCTGAGCCTGCTCTAGGTTCTCTAGAACTGAATCACAGGCCAAAACCAGCTCCACCAATGGCTCGGGACTGCACACATAACAGTACCACTTCCTCTCTTCCTCCAGGATGGTGGACAGCTCCTTCCTCCCCTGGTTACGCAGAACACACTTCTTACAGAAGGCATTACTGCAGTAATCACAGCCAATCAGACTGCCTCCCTCTGCACACCACCTGAATGAACAGGGAATTAGAGCACTTACTTTACAGATCACCAAAAAAGTGGATACAAAGCAGACCCTATCGACTGTGAGATGACACCACACAATTTTCCACCAATATGTATCAATGATCTGCTCAGTGACTTTTAGACTGCCATTTTCAAGTGAATCTCTTGAAAACCGTTTACAACTGTAATTTCTCCAATAAATTAAACGAAAAAATATTTAGCAAAGAGAAAACAATGCCTATTTTAAGTTCCTTTTTTACATGGCGTTTTAATTATGATTGCATTAGATTTCATTTCATTTGTAAAGCATATTCGTTTAAAAAGAAAAAAGGATTAACCAAGTATACATGGTGGCATTTGAATTTAATTTATGCTGACTAAGAAAAAAATAATGGCGCAACATATATATTCATAATTTTATAAATCAAACATTTCTTTGTGATATTCACCTGCATACACTAGTTTGGTCATGGCACATGCTAATAAGATCTATTGATTTTATATTTTTAATCTGCAACAAAAAATTCTCTCTAGACAAAAGTAAGAAAAGCAGCTCAACTTTATAAAAAAAACAAAAAAACAAAAACATCCTTTGTATGTCATGGACACCATTTATACATTAACCACACTCACTCCATTGAAATTCAAACATACATACACTGGGGCGTAAATTGCGGGAGGGATGGGGGGTCAGGACCTGAGGGTTAAAATTTCTAAACGTCTGAGGGTTAAAACGTCCTAAAAATGTAATTAAAAACCACTCTGTGTATTGTAAATAATATAATGACATATACTTAAAATTGTGTTAGTAAAAAAAAAACTTTTTAAGTTTAGAAAGTTCAGTCCCCCCTCACTTGCCTCGCAGTGGTTTGGTCCACTGCCTAAAAATCGGATGAAGTGATTCTTTCTCTTTAAAATACAGATTATGCTGGATCATTAATAAACTAGTCATGACAAAAAAAATGATGATATCCGATGTATTTTTCCATGAGTGATTTTAAAAGGGTCATATGATGTTGCTAAAAAGAACATTATTTTGTGTATTTGGTGTAATGAAATGTGTTTATGCGGTTTAAGGTTCAAAAAACACATTATTTTCCACATACTGTACATTATTGTTTCTCCTCTATGACGCGCCTTTCTGAAACGCGTAAATTTTTACAAAGCTCATCGGTCTGAAAAGCGAGGTGTGCTGTGATTGGCCAGCTATCCAGTGCGTTGTGATTGGCCGAATACCTCAAGCGTGTGATGGAAATGTTACACCCCTTACCATATTGTGATGCCATGTCCCGGCCGGAGTGACAAGACAAAAACATTAAAACCCATTATAAACTAGGCATTTGTTGCATCCAGTGGGGACATAATTACGGATTATAATGGCTTATACTGTCTTTTTACGCGTTGCATTGCATCGCGCCGCGTAAACAAAACCATGTCTGCATTTGTGATCGGAGAAATGACGATATATTTCCTTAGCGACCAGCACGGATCAGCTCCAGGTATGACGAAGCAGATATTGTCCTCTTTTGGAAGGCCAAACAAAGTAGTTTGGCTTTC